GGTTGTTTCAGGTTCAGATTTGTCAGTTTTTGTTCATAACAGATGAAAACAAAGTGATTTTGTGAGGAAGAGCCAAAGCAGCACTCAGTGTAAGGATCTGTATCACTCTGCTCGCCTCAGCTCTGTGCTTCCATTTTCACACTCAGCCACAGTAGCTTTGCATGATTCACAGTCCAAAGAGAGCACCGACCTGACGGAGCGGTCGTCGCTGCCGGTGACAGCCAGAGGCTTTTTGGGGTGAACGTCGAGCGCCCACAGCTCGCCCTCGCTGTGTCCCTGCATGATGAGCAGCGGCTTGTCCCGGTCCCGCACCATCACCTGCACAGGTACAACAACTCAAGAGCAGGTTTTCACATTTTAAAGCACCACATCACGCACGTTTCAGTGCCGATCTGAGCTGCTAAAACTGCCTGACATTAGAAACTCTTCACAGTTTTGATTAATGAGAACATTTTGTTGCCTGCGTGTCAGCAGGAGGTCTTCACAAAAATAAAACTCTTTGAAACGCGTCGCCGCAGGGAGGGAACAGCGTGAGGTTTCGTCTTCTTCCTCACCTCAAAGATCTCGCTGTCCTGCGTCCCTGCCAGGATCCGGTCGGCTCGCCAGCAGACGCTGCGAATAGACAGACCTGAAGGAGGGAGGAGAGGAAAGGAGAAGGTAAGGTGACACAAAACTGTCAAAACATCAGGAGAAAGACAAAAATAAAACCAGTGGAGAGGAAAAGAAGCAAACAGGAGGATAAAAATGGAAGACGACAGCGCTGCAGAGGAAGCAGGTCCTCGGTCTTGATGAACTTGGTGGTTTAAATCCACTAAATAAACGCTGGAGAGGTGGCGGTGCAGCCAGGTGACGGTGGACGGAGCTCCATGAACCTCTGGACTGCTTCGTTTTTTATTTTCACTTTAAAAGCACCAAAAATGATTCGGTTAGTTTTAGGAAAAGAATCCGGTTCGACTGAAACGCACACCTGCACTACAGCAGAGACACGTGGACACTCACATCATTCATCTCAGTTCAGAACACCCCCAGGAGGAGCGCAGGAGGTGTCTGATCAGAGGGAGATCTGGACTTTGTGAATGTAGTTCAACCTGCTGACTCAGCTCGGCTTCAACCTTCGTGTTTTTTTAAAGTTTTGCTGCTAAAACTGCTTTTTTCCACCATCGGAAATGTAATTAGCAGGGCTGCTCAGCAGCTCAGCGCTCGCCAATTAAGAGCATCTGCTGTGGCTGATGGCATCGCTCAGCATGTGATGTTTTCCTGTAATGTTGTTAGAAACTCCAGAGGTTCAGCAGCCAAAACAGGCCGACAGCAGAGGAGTTTGTGAGGCACGTGGGAAATAACTGGGAACGATTATTTTTTCTTCAGCTTCAGACGCAGGAAGAGCGCGGCGCACCGCGGGAGAGGAGAAGGAAGCAGAAACAAACCGACTTCCTGTCCACGTACAGAGCAGCGAGAGGCGAAGAGGACGGGCTCGTCGTCTCATCGGGCGTGGAACTCCAACATTTTTAGGCGCCGATATATTAGCAGCCTTTCAGACTAATCCACCATGAGATGGCAGGTTTGTATCTGTTGGGTCACGTCGGTCAATGTCAGAACTCGGACGGATTCAAACCGTTGAGCGTTATAAGAAACAAGGAGAATCATGCAAAGCTGTCCTAGAGCAGGATGCTCCCACATTTCCTGTCCACAGATGTCACAGCGACTGGTTTCAGGATGTTTTTGAGGAGATGAACTTTGACGGTTAATCAGAAGCTCCATCGTGTCTGCAGCAGAGATGTGTTAAAGAGGAGAACTCGTTTCAAACTGACAAAACTTTTGCCTCCTTCCTTTCATCTTTTCTTCCTTTTTAACTTCTTCCTCAAAATCTTCAGAGAGGAGATTTTAAAAGGAGGCGGTGGGATTAATGGCTCGCCTCGAGCTGCTCCTGAAGGAAGAGCGTACGTCTGCACCTCCTGCTGGGCAGCGACATTTCAGAGGAGGGGGAGGCGAGGGGTTCAAACAGCCACCACCTCTGGATTTGAGCTGAAAAATAAAGATGAGAAACCTCCTCAAAGAAAATCAGGTCATTTTAAAACCTTCAGCTGACAAAGAACCGTCGGGATGTAAGGACCGTTCCTCCTCATTGTTTAGAATAGAGATAAACCCGCCCCTCCCTCCCACCTGAGCCCCTCCCTCCCACCTGAGCCCCTCTCCGTACCTTAACTTTGCAGCCTCAAACAAACCTTTTCTATTAAATTGTGTTAGAAGCTGAGACCTCGTCCCTGTGTGCACCTGTGTGATGCAACACTGTCACCTTTGCTGCTGTAATGACCTGCGGTGACCCGTGACCGTACCTTTGTATCCCTGCTCGGCCTCTCGCAGGTCGATCTTAGTGATGGGTTTGAAGTCGACGTCCCACAGTCGGATGCAGCCGTCTCTGCCGCCGTGGCGAAGCCTCCTCGCAGGAATACATGCTGAAGATACCGGCCTGAGAACACACACGCATCCACACAATGAAGCAACGATGGACCCACGTCAGCCAGACGTGCAGACGAGTGTCACGCTGGCCTTCTGCTGCGACGGGAAGCAGAGGTGAGACTCACGCTGTGGGCGGACTGGACCGTTCGGATCAGGTTGAGTCCCTTCCAGACGTAAATGTCTCCGTTAAGCGCCCCGGAGTACGTGATGTCATCTTTAGCCGAGGCCACACACAAGATGGTCTGCAGGTCGCCCGTCTTCCCGAAAATCCCCCGCTTTGGTGTGAGAGCGTTACCGCACAGGGACCAGAACTGCGAACACAAACGGAGGCGGTCAGGAAGGAGACGGGGAGACACCTTCTTACTGTTCGAGGCCAGATCTGCGTCCTAGACGCAGATTAACGATGGACTTAGTTTCAAAAGCACATGTAAAGAGTGAGGGGAGGGGCTAACTGAAAGACCAACGGGCACCAGAAGTGTCAATCACACAGTAGCCCGCCCTAAAACAAGCCCTCCCTTTTCCTTCTTTCTGACTCTAATTTATGAAGCACAGCATGTTTTACTGTGTCAGCACAAGATGTCCCAACAAATTCAGCTCAGACCACCACAGTGAGCATGTGAAAGGTTAAAGTTATGCTATGAAAATCTGCCGCCCTCCCTGTCTGCATAAGAACCAATGATCACCTTGACAACGCTACATCGCAGTTCCCTCTGCAGAGTTTAAAACTAAACACACCTGAGCTTACTTCTTCACAAACACAGAAGCAAACATGGACCACGACCTGAAACACAAGCCTAAAAAGAAAAACGGGGCTAAGGACGCTAAGCCAGTCATGAAGTGGCCACCATTCATGGAATCTACAGGCCAGAGGCGTTGGAAAAGCTACGTGAAGATGTGATGAGCATCATTGAACATTTCATGGAGGATGGCTTTCCGGTTTTAGACCGCTTCATGGAAGAGTTTCTGGAGAGCGATGGAGACACGACAGAAAGTGACGGAGATGCGAGAGAAAGTGACGGAGACCCGAGAGAAAGTGACGGAGATGCGAGAGAAAGTGACGGAGATGCGAGAGAAAGTGACGGAGACCCGAGAGAAAGTGACGGAGATGCGAGAGAAAGTGACGGAGACCCGAGAGAAAGTGACGGAGATGCGAGAGAAAGTGACGGAGACCGAGAGAAAGTGACGGAGACGCGAGAGAAAGTGACACGGAGACGCGAGAGAAAGTGACGGAGACGCGAGAGAAAGTGACGGAGATGCGAGAGAAAGTGACGGAGACGCGAGAGAAAGTGACGGAGATGCGAGAGAAAGTGACGGAGACGCGAGAGAAAGTGACGGAGACGCGAGAGAAAGTGACGGAGATGCGAGAGAAAGTGACGGAGACGCGAGAGAAAGTGACGGAGATGCGAGAGAAAGTGACGGAGATGCGAGAGAAAGAAATGCGAGAGAAAGTGACGGAGATGCGAGAGAAAGGGTCTGCGGAGGGAACAAGGAACCCAAACAGAGAGTGCCGAGGACGCACCTGCGAGAGGGTTACCGCGCATACCACTGAGAGAATACTGAGAGCACTGGGAAGGAGGCTCCAGCAGGCTGGGGAAGAGTGATCTCCACCAACTCACCGAGCACGCTTTGGTCGTGTTTGTGTTCAAAACAGCAAATAAAAAAGAAAAAACAATCTAAATTGTCCTGGATTTGTCTTGTATTTAAATCCACAGCAGTGAACCATGTAAAGGTGCTTTTGATATCTGGACTGGACTCTGATTGGATGAGAGAAGCTGAGCTGGGAGTTGTCTCCAGCTTTTATATCTGCTTCCTTCTCGGCTCGTTAGAGATATTTAATGACGGGCGTTCAGAGGAACTATTTTATTACCTCGAGTGAAACTAAGCGGCTACATGAAGGTGGAGAAGGTCAATGTGCTGACCAGTCATATTTCTGGGTAGGAGGAATACGTTACAGATTAACGATGGACTTAGTTTCAAAAGCACATGTAAAGAGTGAGGGGAGGGGCTAACTGAAAGACCAACGGGCACCAGAAGTGTCAATCACACAGTAGCCCCGCCCTAAAACAAGCCCTCCGTTTCCTTCTTTCTGACTCTAATTTATGAAGCACAGCATGTTTTACTGTGTCAGCACAAGATGTCCCAACAAATTCAGCTCAGACCACCACAGTGAGCATGTGAAAGGTTAAAGTTATACCACATTCTGAGACGAGCACAAAACGACGATTTCTGCGTTACCTTGATGTGCTTCACGCGCAGCTCACCAGGCGGCTTTGCTGAAACGGATCCCAGCAGATGTCAAAGATCTGGAGAACAGAAGAAACGTCCGTTATCGGGTTTATGTGAAAACGCGTGCATGCACAGTGGAAGTACGATGAGAAGGAAACACTTTCAAACTCTGTAAAAGATTTTTTATTGAGATCTGATTGGTGTGTGGTGCTTCACGCTGATTTTCTGTCCCGCTCAGACGGCACCGCCCAGAGGCTTTGCCAGACGGCGGCAAGCGGCGAGGCTTAACTGCAGAGGAAGCTGATTGGTGCACGCTCTCACCCTGTCCGAGTGTCCCGTGGCCGTGGCCAGATCTTCCCTCTCTTCCACTCCCAGATACACACCGTGTTCTTGGCGTCCAGGCCGACCGAGGCCAGCCGCTGCGGAGGAGAGACGAGGACGGTTACGCATCCAAAATGTCTACAAACAATTTAAAAAAGAGGCTGAACGTGCAGAAATCTGACAGCTCATCTGCTTCATACGTGCAAAAGCTTAATCCAAGCTGACAGAGGGCGGGGCTCCCTGCTCGATTAGCCTGACGCTCATGTGACGTGTTTGTAAGTGTAAATATAGCACTCTGCAACATTTCAGATGAACTCAAGTTTATTTCTAACGACCAACCTTAAAGCGTTTTCAAAGGTTTGCTTGGAAAGGCTGAGGTCAAACTGCAGGAATGTCTTAAAGGCATAAAGACCTGGATGGCCGCTAACTTTCTGCTTCTTAATTCAGATAAAACTGAGGTTATTGTACTCGGCCCTGAAAATCTTAGAAATATGGTATCTAAGCAGATTCTTACTCTGGATGGCATTACTTGTCCTCCAGTAACACTGTGAGGAACCTTGGAGTCATGTTTTGACCAGGACATGTCCTTCAACGCACATATTAAACAAATATATCAGACTGCTTTCTTCCATTTGCGCAACATCTCTAAAATTAGAAATATCCTGTCTCAGAGTGACGCTGAAAACTAGTTCATGCATTTATTACTTCCAGGCTGGACGACTGTAATTCATTATTATCAGGAAGTCCTAAAAACTCCCTGAAAAGCCTTCAGCTGATCCAAATGCTGCAGCAAGAGTCCTGACAGGGACTAGAAAGAGAGAGCAGATTTCTCCTGTTTTGGCTTCCTGTTAAATCCAGAATTCAAATCCTGCTCCTCACATACAAGGTCTTAAATAATCAGGCCCCATCTTATCTTAATGACCTTGTAGTACCATATCAGCCTATTAGAGCACTTCGCTCTCGCTCTGCAGGCCTACTTGTTGTTCCTAGAGTATTTAAAAGTAGAATGGGAGGCAGAGCCTTCAGTTTTCAGGCCCCTCTTCTGTGGAACCAGCTTCCAGTTTGGATTCAGGAGACAGACACGATCTCTACTTTAAGATTAGGCTTCAAACTTTCCTTTTTGCTAAAGCATATAGTTAGGGCTGGACCAGGTGACCCTGAATCCTCCCTTAGTTATGCTGCAATAGACGTAGGCTGCCGGGGATTCCATGATGCATTGAGTTTTTCCTTTCCAGTCACCTTCCTCACTCACTATGTATTAACAGACCTCTCTGCACTGAATCATATCTGTTATTAATCTCTGTCTCTCTTCCACAGCATGTCTTTATCCTGTCTTCCTTCTCTCACCCCAACCAATCACAGCAGATGGCCCCGCCCTCCCTGAGCCTGGTTCTGCCGGAGGTTTCTTCCTGTTAAAAGGGAGTTTTTCCTTCCCACTGTCGCCAAAGTGCTGCTCACAGGGGGTCATATGATTGTTGGGGTTTCTCTGTATCTATGAAGCGCCTTGAGGCGACTTTTGTTGTGATTTGGCGCTATATGAATAAAATTGAATTGAATTGAATTGAAAGGTTAACGGGAAGAATACCTGAAAGGAGCGTCGAGCTGCTGCGCAAACAGACGTCTGCGCTCCTTCAGTGATCAAAGACTCAGCAGATCATAAAGGATTCAGCTTCACAGCAGTCCTCAATAAATCAGCCACAGCCTGCACACTTGATTTATTATTAAGCTGGAGTTATGATTATTTTATTGATTGTGTGTTTATTTTGATTTAGCCTGAGATGTTCAGTCATCCAAAGTCAGTGCCAGGGGCAGAAACTGCTGGCTCAGCATTCACAGAGTCGCCTCACAGCTCAGCAGCAGCGACAGCGTTTTCATTAATATCACTCACGTCCACAGAAACCAGAACCAGTGCAGCTTATTGGCAGTTTCATCACCGTCTGACCTCAACGACACCTTCAGATCTGGTTTTCCAGCAAACGTTTGATGTGTTTTCAGCATCAGACCTTCCAGAGTCGTCTGCTGTGACGCTCACAAAGACTTCAGCTTTTCCAGGCTCCACGGTTAGAATCACAAATCAAAACCAAAGTAAAAAACAGGTTTTTAGTGTCTTCACTGAGTCCGTCAGGAGCTGACAGCAAGGACCAGGCCAGGTCACTGCTAACACTTATTAACAGGACTAAGAGCAGAATTCCTAATTAACCGCTTAAGCCCCAACGCCCCTGATACGGGGGCAAAAGGTCAGGTAGGTTTGGGGCTTAAGAGGTTAATGGAATTTCATTTTATTTAACTTACAGTGTTTTCCTGTAAATACACGAGAATCAGGAGGAAATAATCCCACCGTCAGGAATTAGAAGTCGTTTGAATTTAAAGGTGATTTTGCAGAAGAAGATTGTCTCATCGTACATCGTAAACACTCGTCAGCCACATCGTGGCGTGCACGAGTCCTTATCTTATAATAAATATGTTGACGTGCACGATGGGTGCTGTATTATTCAGCCGACCTTTACCGCTCTCTCTTTTAATGCTCGACCCAAATCAAATGATTAGTTCTTCTTTCACAATCGCTTTGAAAGGAACGCCTCACTTCCTGTAAAACACCTGGAAGTTAAAGTTAGGCCCCCCACAGTGTGGCTCCGCCCTGCAGACAACACTGCTTTCATTTCTATATGTTTAAATTCCAAAGATGACGAACCGTCTTCAGACTGAAGGACGTTTGGATGGAAATCTCATCATTAGTGAAGCGATGTTGGGCCGTCGACAGATAACGATGGCGGGTGGCTACGGAGCTGTGGAGCACAGGAGAGCTGGAGGATGATGGTTAAGGTGTTTTCATGTTGACGCTCCCTAACGCACAGAAACGCCACCAAACGGCAGAAAGAGGACAGCGAGAGCACGTCTGAGATGGTCGATGAAGATGGTCCTCAGCTCCGGGTCCACGCCCACCTTCAGGTATTCGGGTATTTTGTAAGCTGAGCTGCACGTGAACAGAGCTGATAAACCCGTCAGCACCATCATCATGTTCTCTGTGAGTGAAGGCGGGTCTGACTCTAAGCTGCTGTTATTTATGATTTCGCTCTTTACAGCTCTATTGATTTTCTTATTTCAGCATCAGTTGCTGAGAAACAGTTTATTTACCGCGCACGCCGCCCACTCACACCCAGGGTTATTTCATATGTTGGTTTGTGACGCGTTTCATTTTCCCAGCCGCAGGCTGACACGATGGGAGGGACCTGCAGGGACTGGGGAAGCATTCGTTAGAAGTTATTCTAACGTGTTGACACGACACCGAGTTTGGCGTCTGTGGCGCTGCCGTCAGACGCGGCGCTGCCGGTAAACTCAGAGCGACTCCACCAGGTTTGTTTGCTAAATGAGTCACGGTGGAGTCAGCGGGAGGGAAAAGGAGGCGTATAAAAGCAACTCCAGCACTCCAGGTGGCTGAGAGGGAACTATTTGCTCAGGCTGCACACACACACACACACACACACACACGCACACACACACACACACAGATGAGTGAAATCAAACATGCAGAGAGATGTGCGTGCACATCCCGTACTACATTTAGGTCAGGAGCAGAACGAGACAGTCAATGGCAGAACAAATGGAGCGTCTGCTTCCTGGATTACAGCTCCTGGGAATCTGATCGGACTAAAAAAAGTCCGGGAAGCACGAGGACACGAACGTCACTACACGTACGAGTCTACATGTGATCGCAGAAAGCAACCAATGCTTCAGGAGCAACGCGCTTTAATATTCACATTTACAAAAGCCAGAAATCTGAACCTGGACTTGATCTTGACCCATTTTCAGGTTTCAGAGTCAGCTGATGTCCTTCAGCAGCTTTGCATGATTCACAGTTCAAAGTAATCCTTCTTTATCTCATGAGCCTCAGTGCAGCAGTTGTAACTCCTCCCCTCTCTAAGACAATGTTCTTCTGATTGGCTGTGAACATCCAGCACTGGAGCAGGAGATATGCGACTGCAATGAGTGAAAGGCATCTTTATTAAAACTGCACGTCACGGAGACGAGAGGAAAACCCACCGGTGTTTAGAGAGCTCATCTTCCACAGTATAAGGAATAATAACGCTGTTTTAATAAAAGCATCACACTGAGGACGGCACTGATCAGCCACGCCTTAAAGCAGACCATCTCCTGCTACTGTTGCTCTTCCTGTTGACCAAAGCACGTCATGAATCGAGCTTGTGCACCGAGGTGTTAATCACAATGTCTGCTAAAGGCTACACGTGCCTCAATATTCAGACTGCAAACGTACAATCAGCCACAGGATGGACGGCTGTTCATATTCTGATCTACTACAACATTAACTGCTGGTTATGACAGAAACACGTCACAGAACGAGCGCTCGACGTTTCTCCGACCCGACGCGCCCGAGAAGACGATCTTTAATCAGCCGTCGGTCAAATTTGAATCAGGTTTTGATTTTCAGGAGCTCCTTTAAAATACTGACAAAGTCATCGGTAACGAGGTTGATTGTTTCTCAGTGTGTTGAAACCAGCCGTGACTTGGGGCTGACCTTTAACCCTGTCCCGCTCTCTGGTCCTGCCTCACTCAAACCGGAGGATAATTTCCTAAATTAATATGATGTTGACTTGAAAAGACTCGAAAGCAGCGACTGAGACCATAAACTGATCAGGAGAGCGCTCACTGAAGCCAGCCGCCCCTGCTGGCCATTACAGAGGATGTCCATCTGATAATAAGCTCTGCTCTGTTCTCAGAAAGGGTTTGAGGAGCACGATGAAGAGTTCGAGGAAGCTTTCCAATTGGACTTCCCAGAAATCCAACCAGGCAGGTGGGATGTGCAGGAAAAACAAGTCCCGTCCACAGAGGCGTCACGTCGCAGCTGCTACCATCGTCGGTGTGCGATACTACGGAGCACCTGCAGATGTTTGTGGAGTCCTCAGAGGTGTTTCAGCAGCACGATGGGGTCGCACACAAAGCATTAATAACTGTGCTGATTGACACAGAGAGGAGCCCTGTGAGGACACAAGGGTCTGACACGAACTTTAGCGCGATGTCTGCGTTCTTCTTCCAAAGAATCAAAGTGCATCGTGCCAGAGTCTGAAGACCAGGCGTGCTCGCCTCTGACAGAGCGACCTGCGGTAAATCGATGCAGCTGTAGAGAAAATGATGTGAGGTTGATGCTGTGTGTGAGTTTAGGACAGGTGGGTTGCACCGCACTCATTTTCCACCTTTGACTGTAAGTTACTGAACCAAAGTGATGGATGATGTCATTACTTTTATCATCATCCTCTCAGCTCACTCTGCCCTTTTCCTGCCCCTCCTTCCTCTCACCGAGTCATTCTTCTATGACCTTTGGGTTGATGCAGGACACACACACACACACACACAGATTGATTATTGGGCTTTGACTGACCCCGATAAACTTCATAATGCTTCATTATCTCTGCAGAAAAATTTACTGCCCACAGCCCTGATGGACGACTAAATCTTTGTCACGTTTCTAAAGCGGAAATTTCAAAACTCATCTGACAAAAGCCGCCAGGACACATTCAGCCTCAGAGGTCTGCTTATCGTCACATCAAGCATCATGAGGGCCCACGGGCAGAGTCATAATCTGGGTCCCAGTAAACCCAAAAAACAGGCCTCAAGTCCTGTTACTAAACAATAATATCAGTCGACAGCACCGATGACGGCGTTTATGTGGACCACAGATTCCCACTGGGCCACACGGGCTTATTTACTCAAAACCACAGACGGTATCAAAGATGTCACGAAGCCTGAGAGTGCAGCGAGCGCGGGCTGGATGGTCCTTATTTCTAATGTTTTACTCAGTGTGACGCAAAGTGTCGCACTTCTAAAGGAGCAGAAATCTTGTTGCTGTCGCCCCTGGTGCTCATTAAGAATAATGCAGGACTTTCATCGTTCATGCTTTTTATGCTGGATGTGTTTGTGTTCAGCATAAATGTCAAATCTTTGTCAAAATCCTTCACATAGAAATGATCCCACCAGCTGCAGGGTCTCAGTGTTGAAGATTACATTACACTGCATGCTGTAGATTTAAGGTGGATTATTAATTATTAATGCAGCTCATTCATTCACATGAAAACTAAAGAGTTTCCAGAAAATTTACATTTGATTCCAGCCTTATCTTTAAAAATCATAGTCTTAGACTGTGTGTGTGTGTGTGTGTGTGTGTGTGTGTGTGTGTGTGTGCGCGTCACCTGTCCATCAGCGCTGAATGCGAGGCAGGCGATGCCGTGTGTGTGTCCGTCACGCAGCAGTGACACGGTCTGGGCGGTGAAGGTGTCCCACACACACACATACGGATCCTTGCCCACCTGACCCGTCGCCACCAGGGAGCGCTCCGGGTGCAGCGCCAGGCTGAAGGGAGGAAAGAGGCGGAGACGTTAGAAAGACAAAGGACGGAGGGGAGGAGACAGGTAATAACACAGACGACCAATCAGAGAACATATGGCTATAAGGTATACGCAGGAGTAAAGGAGCACTCAAAACTTTACTCAGGCAAACAAAGAGCTGCTTTAAAACTACAACACACGCACGAACATCACAGCAGAGACTGTGGCAGCGTTTTTACATCATTTTAAAGATTTAATGTTGGAACCGATTCGTCACTCGCAGCTTTACGTGATGGATTTGGTGTCACACAGTGGTAGAAGTGATGAATCATCATAAACATGTAGAATTAAACTTTTTAATGAATGTTAGAGTGAAATGTTAAATGCTGTCGTTGTGCTTAAATCTGTAAACCTTGTTTTAACCTGTATGTTTAGAGATTTTTCTGTTCCCCACATCGAGGGTAACAGCACACTGCATGTAAGCTTCTGGTCCTTATTTAGGGAGGATGTTTTACTTCCTGCCCTTTATGGCCTCACCTGTGCTTCTGTGTGGTGAGACTGTTAAAAAGGGGTTGAGTCATATGCAGGGTGAGGGGAGGTGACCCTTTGCGATCAGCAGGAAGTCACACAAAAACACCCACATGCACACACACACACAGCTGCTCTGAGGATCTGACCAGGCTCCCCTTGCTAGCAAGTTGAGCTGTTTGTCTTTCTTTCTTCACGGGTGATGAGTCTTTGAACCAGCGAGGCCTGCGAGGCGCAGACCCAACAATGATTTCGACATCTTCCAACAGCGTTGCCTTCGACGGCTGCTCAAGATCACATATCGGGATCGCGTTACTAACGAGGAAGCCGCTCCACGTCCAAGTCACCAAGCGCCGTTTCAGATTCGCCGCTCACATCCTTCGGCTACCGGACCCGAGACCCACCCGTGTCGCGGTTCTGTGGAACCCGAGGAATGGAAAGAGACGGCGAGGAAGACCCAAAATAACTTGGAGGAGTACGTTCCTTGAAGATTCACGCTCGGCCAAGCTGTCATGGGATGAAGCAGCAACTGCCGCGATGGACCGAGTTCGATGGCGTTCTCTTGTCGCCCGATGCGCCGATCGGCGCGGGAGGATCGTTCTTCGTCTCCCGTTCAGAGGGTCAATGTTCTCCTTTGCAGACAGCGCTATAAATACACCTGCTGCTTTAATGGCATCATTATCAGCACACACACACACACACACACAGTCTCATGCTCTGTTATTGTTGTAAAGGTCGTGTTTCGTGACCTTCGCCGAGTCTCCTCACTGTGACCTCACAGACACCAGTTTATTTTCTGTCTCCTGTTTGAGAGGACGGACAAAACTGTCCGTCCTCTCAGATCCGGTGTGTGACACTCATGGATCCATTTTGCTGCTGCTGTCAGCCAATCAGCACAGTGAGGCGGGCTGGGCAGTTTTAGCCTGCTGGGATGGAGATGGCACGCGATCCCACAGGAGCTGGAAAACATGGCTGGATAAATGTGGGAACACCGTCCTTATCCTGCTGTCAGTAAGAGGAAAACTGGATTTCTGAGGGGAGGCTTGTTTCAGTCTGATAAAAAGAAGGCTTATTTTGAACTGTGATGGTAAGATAGAGCTGAACATGAGGACAATATTTGTAAAAGTTGAACATTTAATTGTTGACGCTCCTTTTTACCCAGCCTCAGCTCCCGGGGTCGATGGGTCAAAATAAACTGCTCCCATTTCTGGTGCGTTTACATTTTTATGAAATCAGGATGTTATTGTGTCTCCGTGTGCTGGTTCAGAGGATAAACATGAGCATCTGGAGGAACAGCAATAATAATAATAGTACGAACAGATTTACTCACAGGGGCTGATGTTCAACCAGCACGCTCACTGCACTGTGGTACCTGTAGCTTAACCTGAGACCTGTGTGTGTGTGAGTCTGTGTGTGTAGTTCGGAAAGGTCAGTGCATGCAGAGGTGTGTGACACACGGAGCAGCCGTGTATGAAATAATAGAAGCAGAAATAGAACAGGTGTGTCGGCCACGAAGCTCCATTGATCTCAGAGATGGTATCTCTCTCCACACACACACACACGCACACACACACACACGCACGCACGCACGCACACACACACACACACACACACACACTCAGACGTTCCTTCTCAACCTGCCAGCCAATGAGCCTGCAAGCTGCCGCGGTTGCTATAACAACCGTATTGCCAAGGGCAGGGAAGCTGAGGTCTGAGCATGACAACTGTGGAGCCAAGGTCACACACACACACACACACACCTGAACACCCGTCTCTACTGGATGATACCCGACAACTTCCAGACGTCTTCTTCTTTGGTTTTTTGTCGTATTTATACTCTACTCTTTATCTCACTGACATTTGATAAAACCGAGCGTGTGTGTGTGTGTGTACAGCTACAGAGTTTATACTGGTAAATGGTCAAATGGCCTGCATTTGTATAGCGCTTTTCTAGTCCTTAAGGACCCCAAAACGCTTTACACTACATTCAGTCATTCACCCATTCACACACACATTCACACACTGGCGATAGCAAGCTACATTGTAGCCACAGCTGCCCTGGGGCGCACTGACAGAGGCGAGTAGAATTCATTTCTACTCAGTAGAAATGAATTCTCTCTCACATCCTTTCACACCCATGAGTCTGAACAGAAGGTCAAAGAAGGCTGTTATGGGCCGGATGACTAATTTACAAAGTATTAGAGAAAAGCAGGCTGGTCTAAAAATAAGAAAATCACCACATAAATGTGCAGCACTCACAGACGGGGGAATATCCTTCACTGTCATGTGAAACCTCCAATCAGAGCCACAGAGTGACACAAGCTTCAGATGTAAACAATGAAGCCAGGGTTAATGTTCCTTACAGGTACAGTCAGCTTGTTTTTAGTTAAAGTAACATGGTTAGCACGCAGCACGCTGGGACTGAGTTAAACAGCAGCACACACACGCTGACCTCTGACCTGGAACCTAAAACCACACACACAGGCTCACAGGACTGTCTCCAGGTTTGTCTACAGACTCTTAATGAAAGATGAGCATCGTTAAAACTAAAACTGGGCTTTGTGACGACTTGTTTCTGTGTCTGCAGTGTAGGGCTGCCACAAACAATTATTTTGATAGTCGACTAATCAGATCATCATCCATTGGACGTAAAATGTACAGCTTATCCGGTCGTTAAGTGATGACGTGACGAATCCTACTTCCGGGTCTAAAGTAGTCTGCGTTTAATATGGCTTTTGTGTTGTTAACATGTTTAATGTTTTGTATTTTCTTCTATTTGATCTCAAAAAGCTCCTAAAACAGTCAGTGATCCCTGTTGACCTCCCTCGGCTTTTATTACCGCTAATCATTTATTTAAGCTCAGTTTTTAAAACCTTAGGATGTAACTACAGCCCAGCCCATGCAGCAGTATATGAATGACTAACCTCGTATTGTGGATGGATTATCTCAGTTGTTCTCCTGGCTGAAGTTTGGTCCTTTTACAGCATCCTGCCATGCGATTACATTTGTTCCTGACCACCGAGAACACTCACATTAACTTTTATCAAGTGGGAAAAAAGTTAGCTTGTTTATATTATGCTAACATAGCTGTGTCGCTAGCGGTCACGTAGCACATCATTATATACCAGCTAGCCCAACTTCAGTAACCCTACAAACGTCACTGCTGTTTAGTTTTCTGTCTTCATTTATGTTGGAAGTGATAACAGAGCTGTACGTTTGAATTTGTTTCCAAAGCCCCGCAGTCAGGACATGCTATATTGTATTTAGATAGAAGCTAGCGAGCTAACTCCCTGCTAACTTCTAACTCCGTTAAATGTCATAAATTCCGTTTTCATGGATGCCTGGATGTTAAACTCAATTGTTACACCTGGTAGAGCAGAACGCTGATCATTTTATTAGAGATGAAAGACTTTAGACAGTTTTTCAACTCTCAGTGATGCCATAGTGATCGTTTGATATATGGACCTGCAGCGGAGTTTAGGCCCAGACACGGCTAGTGACATCAGACTGAACAACCGGATTGCACCAGCAGCATCTGCTCTTATATAACTATCACTAGCTTACAGCTTTAAGTGTTTCAGGTCTGTGCTAACTAAAAATAAAGACAAGATGATCGTTTATTAAATTTAAATGAAATTTGCAGATTGTTTCGGTGAAGTTTAATAAACTCCTTGCTATCTAAAATATAACAGGACACCGGAGTAAATTCTTGAGCATCTCACACTTCTGATGATCAGCTGTCTGCTTGACGTTTATTCAGCTGTGTAAAAACTATAACTTTAATCTCAGCCAAACCGATTTACTCAGGAACAAATAAAATACTAAAAAAAGCCAAACAATAACATTTTCAAGTTATCTAAGTGACTCATATATCATGTTTAACCTGAGTAGCGGCGGTGGGTTTGAAAACGATTTGCCGGGAGTCCGGTGTTCTCACGGCTCTAGTGACCTAGCCCCGGCTAGCTATCGAGCTAGTGGGTAACAGACGTTTCTGAAAACGTCGGAGCGCTTTTGAAAATATGCGGTGTCCTGATAAACTGAGCAGATATTTGAGGTTTCCACAGCTACATTCTCGCCTGAAAATATGTCAAACGTTTATTTTGTGACCCAGAAAGAATAATAAGAGTAATATTAAAACTAACTAGCTGCCGCCATTGTTGGAAACTGAGCTGGGCTGCGCTATGAATTCTGGGACACTGCTTCTTCTTCTTCGGGGGTTTAACGGCAGCTGGCATCGTTGTACATGCAGTGCTGCCATCTTCTGTTTCAGTCCGTTATTACACTCTTAAATCCTGCTACTTATTCCTGCGTCTTTTGGGATCTTACAAAGCTTCAAACGACGCGTCGACTATTAAATTAGTCGTTGACGATTTTGATAGTCGACTAATCGTGGCAGCCCTACTGCAGAGTGATGCTCCTCCTCTTCTCTAATAACTCATCCTTCTATCATCTCATCCTTGTGTTCTTCATCTCTTTTCACACTCTCTCGCTCACACGTCTCCATCGACTTAACGACTTACATTCAGAGGACTCGGTCCTCACAGTGTGACTTCATTAACAGATTTATGGCCTCACAACATGAGTAACACAAGCCCACACACTCGAGCACTTTGTGGTTATTTATAGCAGCTGCACTGATTTGCTGCTAATCATAGCCTGAGTGTGCAGCCCCGATAATGTGATTAATAAATGATTCACCTGCAGAGAGCGTGTGTCTAAATGTTTGGCACAAGAAAAAGCTGCGAGTGAACGATCGGATGGTTTCTTTCTGCACAAATATTTAATGCTGTTAATGAGCAGATTCATGCTTTAAAGGCTCTGTGAGCAACAGCTCTTTTTTACAATAATTTGAGCTTTTCCATACATATTACGGAAAATTAAAAACCTTTTATATATTTCATGGAATATTACAAAAATCTGACTTGGATAAAATATGTGTGCTGTGTCTATCCCACTGAAGCCGGGTGGCTGCTGTCTGCAGGAAGCCTGGCCGTGAAGGTGTGTCTGAGGAAACGTTACAGCAGGGTTGGTTGGTTTGTTGCTCTCACAGAGACACACACACACCCCGACTCAAACATCGGCCCTG